ACCAGAAAGAAAAATAAACATAGTTACTGGTACAAGATTCTTCATTTTAAGTCGGCTAGGGTTACAAAGTTCTCTTATTTGTAGTGCTTCATATGTAAAGTACCTAGTTTTTTACAAATAAAAGTGTTAGCAATATTGTTTTCTCTGTGTTATTAAAGGAATCAAATTAGAACAGAGGAGTGCGACAAGGATGTATTCTTTCACCATTGCTATTTAATTATATCTAGATGAATTTCCACGCCTACTAGAATCCTCAAATGGTACAGATCCAATTATTTTACCAAATGGGTCTCCTCTCAATTGTTTATTTTATGCAGATGATCTCATATTAATATCAAGCAGTTCTGCTGGTCTTCAAAACGAACTTAATACCCTCCAAAATTATAGCGAGAAATGGTTATTAAAAATTAATCTAAAAAAGACGCAAACCCTATTTTTCCAAAAACAAAATCGTAAATCAACACGTGACAAATTTTCCTTCTTTCTAAATGGAACTCCAATCGCCAAGGCTTCACAGCACACCTACCTTGGCGTTACTTTTAGCACTAATGGAAGCTTCTCAAATTCTAAAAAGGCTTTAGTTGAGAAGGCTAGAATATCTATTTTCGCATCCAAACGTTATCTTGATTTCAATAAACTTCCTATCAATATGTGTAATAAACTATTTGATACTCTATTTTAACCCATGCTTTTATACGGATCCGAAATCTTGGGAACATATCTCCAATTTTCACATTTCGACCCTCTCCCCTTTTCAATGTTGTAACCACGTGATAGTGTCCACGGAGCGTATTTCAACATTGAAAAGGGGGAGAGGGGGGTTTGGCTATCGACAAAAAGATGCTTTTTGAAATTACGGAAGGACGGCGATAGAAAGCGTTTGTTTTGCTCAAATGTTTCAACACTTTCGTCCATGATTGTAGTTGCTTAGTCGCTATGCCGGCATTCAAGATAATTTCTCTCGCTGAGCGCTACTCTCCAAGGTATTTGTTATTGTATTCAAAATTATTTCTGTCACTGGTCTTCCCACTTTGAGCTGTTTTGTTACTGGATTCCAAGTTATTTTTGTCGCAGGTCGCTTCGCTGCCTTACTTAACATGCGGCCAACGCCAACTTATATCTTCATGACAGTGACCAACTCTAAAGCTCATTGGCTACTTTGGTCACTGTACACAACTAAATATTGCTTTTTCTAGTTCATTTCTATTTGTATTTTTTTCTGTATTATTGTAAACCATCTTATGTTAAGTCGTTTTCTGTAAGCAGTGTGCAATAATAAAAAATGAAACTGCTGCGAGCTATTTCGTTGTCACTGTACCGCTATTCGACATTATTACTGTCGCTGATCACTTCGCTCGGAGCTGTTGTTTTGTTGAGTTATTTTCTAGGCTGATCGCTACACTCCGAGTTGTTTTATCTGCGCTGTTAAAGGGGCTCAGTCTCGGTTTGCGCATATTGAAAAGCTTAGCCTCAATTTTTCAAATTCGTCGTTTGTAATCCGATCCGTGTTAATCTTCTCCATCCTTAGCCATCCTTGTTTCTTTATGGTGTTTTTCTATCTTATTAATTAAGCTGTTATTTTCAGGTTTTCTACCATTTAAAATTAATTTTGTAGGTGGCCAAAATAACTCAAAATATCGTGACTGAGCTTGGTTGGGAATTGCTTTGTTGTGGTATAGTATTCAAATTGATTTCTGTCGCTAATCGCTAGTCCCCTCATTTTCTCTTGGACTGAACTAACCGAACAATGGCATATACATCACGCAAACATTTAACAGATTTGCGCTTAAACAGCTACATTTGACTCATGTGCCAGAACGACTAGCTTTAATGCTTTGAGCTAAAGATAGATGCAAGAAACATAAGAACGTCTCCAGGCAAACGTATAGCTTTCTCGAAGTAAAGCTACGGCGTCTCTGAAGAATAAGAATCAGCATACCGTACTTGAAACAGTTCTAATCAAACAGCCGGGCGAAATATTCAAAGATCCCCCTATCGTAAAAAGGGCAGATCCTTAAAAGATATACTCGTTCGAGCAAAACTTTAAAAGCGGTTATTACACCGATAAATTTGATAAAAGCTTGCTTCGTTTTGAAATAGTTCCCGTGCTTATACTCGTCGGACTCGCTTTAGGCATCTTATGGCACTGGGAGAGAGTACGTTACAGCTTATGGAGAAAATAAGAACATATATAAAAAGAATTCCTCACCTTTCCTGACCCACTGTAGGATATCTACGAGTAAAGTCTATAGGTAGTGATTTTTGCAATCAGTCATGTTATGATTTGTCATGATCATCATGATTTGCTGTGGTCTCCAGGAAAGTTTATCTCACGTGATGCTTTATGAAACTGCTGACACCCTAAATTGTAAGAAGTTGCTAAAATAATCTTGTAGTATTGTGGTGCATGTGTAGGTTGAAGTAAGTACATGTATAATGTCAGTGTAATTGTTTAGAGTAGACGTTGTTTGGATAGGAAATGGAGATCTATAATGAAATCAAATCAACCAACTTTTTCACATATGAATGCAACACCAGACTTTATTAAAAATCTCGTTGGAACAACAAGGAAATACAGCCCTTCAGTTTATCGTGAAAAAACTCGGCATATGACGTATCATTTTATGGTATAATGGATCTCAGTTGTGATCTGTGGGCAAAGAGTCTGTAATCGAACGTTTTGACGGGATAGAGAGAAAATGAACGTGGAATTCCTGACGATTATTGAAAGAATATATATTGTTGTTTGCGTTATTTTTACACCTGGTAAGTAGAAATCTTTCTATTTGCATTTATTCTTCGCGTAAGAATTTTTCTTCGAGTACGTTGACACGTTGAAAGACACTTTTAAAAAGTGTCAACTTATTTCATGATTCAGCTAAAAGTATACCTATACCAAATTTCATTCAAACTCTCTACTGATTAAAACCATGCCTGAAACAATATCAGCATTTCCAGATATTTAAGTTCCCATGGTAAAAATCGAAATTGTCCTTATGATCATCAATACATGAATTATTACTGGCATAAAGGCAGGCGTTTGATTGCTAACTCATTCAACTGACGAGTGTATTTGCCGAACCTGGTATTTGGCTGTTATGTGAAAAATCAAAACAAAACACAACTGTAACCTATTTTTCAGGGACCTGGGGCGAGTTCAATCCTTGTTTCTCGAGCCAGGTTATCGCGGGTGATGAGAGAAGCGTGACATTAGCTCAAGAGTCTGACTACAAATGCGACGGTGAGCTCGAAAAGGGCTGGTATCATTTTGTCAGCAGCGACGGACTACCCATGAAGATGGCAACACAGTGGATATCGGTAAACAGGTGCAGTTAACTGACATGTTTGTAATAGCGCTTCGTGCTCGTGTATCACGCTTCGCGGTCTGCTCCGCCGGCTAATCCGCCTGTTCAGCAGGCTATAGTAACTGGACCGAGTGGAGTGCGATGCAGGGAGTAATCGTGCGAGTAATTTTAAAATCGGACGACCGAGTAGTGCGAGGCCGATTTGAAATTTCGAGCCTTTTGAGCACTTCGTTTGAGCGAAAAAACCATGAGTGTAAAGCGGGCGTTAGTGATGTACAAAAGGCATAGGCATCCAATTAAAAGTATATACAGAAGGTACAAAAGTTTTAATTGGATGCCTGTGATCGGACGCCCACATGATGCTATTTTAAGAAATTTCACCAGCATCAGCACTTTTGGTTGTCTCCTTCTCCACAACGTTTTTTTTTTTACAGTAGCGATTAATTTTAATTTAATTTATTATCTGTATGTAATTTAGTGGAGTGAATCTGCAATAAATAAATAAATAAGTATATAAATAAATAAATAAATAAATAAATAAATAAAAATAAATATATTTTGCTTGATGCAAATGAGTCTTACACAAACAAGACATCTAAATTATGATTCACTTGGAAGTAAGAATGCACAAAGCTATTGATGCCAATTGAATCACCGATAGCATTAATTTTAGGGCCTTTTGGATGAAGAAATGGCCCGGAAATGATATTTTGCTGTTAGTTTAGTAAATGAATTTCTTCAGAACCTTTTTTAAGTTTGGAGTAGTTCATAAAGACAAGAGGTTGATTAAAAGAAGCTTGACGAGACTTGTTTACACATACAGATGACAGTTACAACCATCTTTATTCTTTAAACCTGAGCTGGAGCCAAATTAGGTTCATGTGAAGTTACAGCCCAACTGACTGTGAATCTATTAACCAACAGGTGCGGAACATATTCTTCAGTGTGGTTGAATAAGCAGCATCCGTCATCAGATCAAGGTATTATCACTTGTGAAGTGTGCGCGAATGTTTTTAACATCACTGTCGAGTGCCCGTGGCCCTGGAACATCCGAGTGAAAAACTGCGGCGGTTTTTTTGTGTACGAGTTGAAAGCTACACCGTACTGTCCAATGCGATACTGCACTAGTATATGAACATTGTGAAAAGCAGCGTCTTTTGATACCACCATTACCCGGCTCAAAGAAACGGCAAGGAGGGAAACACAAATCAGCTACAGGGGGGCTTCAACTGAAAAGTGTAATGCAGGAAAAAAAACAGTATTTACAAAGAGACTCTGGGCATCTAGTTAAAAACATTTCGCAAACAAGGTTTAGCTTCTCAAATTTTATCAAGACCCTACAACTGAAGAAGACATCACATAACTTCGGATGTTCTGTTAGACCGCAAGTGTACAATTCATACATCAATAAATAGGACGCTTCTAATCGCCCCCTTTTCAATTTGTAAAATAATTTTCATGGCAAAACAAGGTCTCGAAAAAGTCAAATCACGGTCGTACCGCCAGTAAGGGTCACCTCTCTTTCCTCTTATTACACGAACGAAAAGGTTAAGAGTTTTCTTCCAATGAAAATTCTCATGTTCTCGTTGCTCCAGTAAGCATCTTACGATGCCACACTAAAGCTATGCCCGCTAATCAAACTTTCATTAAGCAATGTAAACTGTGGGATACAAACAATAAATACATCAAATTCGATTTATTATTCAGGGAAGTTTTTTTTATTATTATCTTGACGAAAAATCGTCACACAACAATACATCTGTTATCAATATCTGTTGTTAGCAGCATCTATAAATGGAAAAAATTCCTTAAAGCTTTTTCATTTTTAAAAACTTTCCACAAGTGATTTATTTAGTACTCTGAATTTTTACATAACTAGATCTTTGTCATGAAATACGTACCTTACAAATAAATTAAACTAAGGTTTAGTACGTTTTATCATGCGACGACGAGACGACGTGACAAACATTGCGTGACGGGGCGCAAGTATCGTGAGTGTATAAGAAATAGAAACTCAGTTTCAGTGTAAGGATAGCCTGTTAGAACAGGCGTCCGCAACAAAAAGTTTCTGCTTTTAAAGGACAATTTTTATAGGCCTTTTTTCACCCAGACCAACAGTTGTTCCGTTCGCTGGAATATTGCGCCTCAACTGGATCAGATTTCAGTCTCTATTGGCTGTTTGAGTTTAGAGGAAGCTCGTTTTCTTGGTTCCAGTGCTAGAGATGTTTGGTACAGCATGTCCTCATCCATAAGGTTGTCTTTGGATATCAGATACTGAATAATCTGTAAACAGTAATTGACATTAAAAACATTAAATTATTTAACATCCTTTGAAACAATGCTGCACAGAGTACAAAGTGAAAGCAGGAGTGAAACAGTACTTCAGTTTTCTAAATAACACCAAGTACAAAACAAAATAAGACTTTTTGCGAAGCATCTTTCACTTGGTTAAATACTCTCTTACGTTTTTATCGGGCTCCAGCGTGTACTTGTTCTGTTGATAATGATGAATTTCTTCAATAACTTGAGCGATCTGAAAAGCGACAAACAATCTTAAAATGGAATTAGCACAAGATTGTAACCTGCGCTAAGATTTCCACAGAAGAAAGCAAAGAACATATACGACAGCTTTAAGGACTCAAAGGAAACGATTTGAAGTTACACCTATCTTTCCGCTGTTAAAATCAGATACGCTAGGTGTTCAAAGAAGCAGCTCCTCACCATTCTCATTTTGGAGAAATTAATGAGTCCATTCTCGTTACTGTTGGGTGTGCCATCCTCAATGAACGCCAAGTCCGTTAAGTAGAACCCAAGATATGGAATGCACGGAGGGTCCGCACTGTAATCAACACAACCACAAACCAAGTTATTAACACAACACGTCCTTTTTAGCTTTTCATGACACTTCTTTATACATTTCTGCTAAGTCGCAAAAACGTAAATTTGAAGGCTTTTGTATACGCTTCCACAGTTGCCAAGGAGCCTGAACAAAAGATGAGAATATAAGTCGACGTGGAAAATTTGGATGGCACCGTTTCCAGTGTTAACCCTCTGACAGGGTAAGCCAAAGGAATAAGAGTCATTTAGCTGACAACACGTGTAGTGTACTGACTCTATTGTCACCTTCCAACATTTTTAACGAAATAAAGCGAAATAATTTTAAGGTCTGATTAGCAGACCAAAAGCTTATGACGTATCGGTATGCTGCAGAATTCACACCACAGTATATTTACAAACTTACCATCGAAGAGCATCTCGCATGTTCTTAAACCGACCATCAGAACTGACCAATTTTTGCAGACGATCGATTAGTGTCCGAGTCTATGAAGGGACAAACAAGGAATTAGGGTAAAGGGTAAAGGAAGGTCTGTGCTCTATTTCTCTGATTGTGCCTACCATGATATACTAACAGAAAGTTGCCATGGGCAACCCTTACAAGACCGCTAATAAGCTGTGCCCTTACTACTACTTTAAAATAACTTGTAGTCAGAGCAGCTGTTCCAAGGCTGATCATGAAGCAACTAGTAGTCCTCTATTACCCCGGATGGGAAAGCCTACACAACTGAGCAGTATAGCTCCTCCGGTTCAAGCCTCTTCCAGGCGTTCAGTTAATTGGGGCGCAGCGCGAAAAATAGCGCACAAAAAATAGGGGAGGGTCAGGGAGAAGCGCAGCGCGGAAGGCAAGAGTTCGTTTGCTTCTCATCAAGCCCCTTTTCCCTTTTTTCGTTCGCCATTTTCCGTGCGGCGCCTAAACTAACTGAAAGCCTGGTAGAGGCTTCTCCGATTTGAACACTCAACTTTGTAAGCTCAAGTTCAACCCCTTAATTACCGCACGTCCACACGTTAAAAGCTGACTACTTTTTTGTGCCATACAAAATAACGCACCACAACTCTTATTCCGTTTTTGCCGGGCCTTTGAAACGTTAAAAGAATGACGTTAAGATGATTGGCGAACTCGTTGAATACAGTTGATCGCTTACCTGTTTAGATACCTTCTCCCAAGTCTTCTTCAGTCTGTAGATTGAACTACTCATGAAGGCGGAAGTAATTTCTAGCACGGAGTTAAAGTTATGGAGATTGCGGCAGACCTCCGCTACTGCTGCCCACTTCTCTATCGCCGTGGCGCGTGCTGAGGGAGACTGGTGCTTTACTATTTCTGACGCTACCAGGGAACTTGTCTGGAAAACAAACACAACGTAACGTAACATGACAACGAAGGGCAAGGTTACAAATATATATATATCGAGGAAATGACTCTTCCCCATGCAAACACACACAATATAATCCACTCGCACGTTATTGCTTCGTCTGTGACATCTTTACCATGTTCACTCTTTACTGACAACAAAACATGATCTTCTTTCTTCAAATATTTTCAAACCGCACCCGGAATTTAAATGCCATTTCAAGACGGTATTACGGCTTTGAAAAGACGCCATACAAAGAAACTTGAATCATCCTAGTTCACTTTTTCAAGATTGAAAGAGTGATTTCAAAACCTATCGGAGCTCTGCAATAGTAAGTAGATATACACTTGATTCGGGAGCTGCCAATGATGACATGTATCCAACTTACCTCATTAAATCGTTTTGTCACGCGAAGAATGTTCGGGGCTCGAACGTTTTTATCCGACTTCATCCAAGAAAGGTTGAGAAATTCACTGAAACAATAGTACAATGGTTTGATTAGACTGTTCTAAACAGAGCGAACAACGGAGAGTTATCATCGCTTTAAGGTCAATATCTCACTTACTGTGAAGGAACATTGGAAAAAATAAGGTGTTCCACGAATGTGAGTTGCTCGGCCAGTTGAGTAGCGGAGATTTTATCAAATGTTGCCAAGTCCTCTTGCTTCGTTGTCTGCGTAGTGCCCAGACAAGAAACGGACAATTAGTAAATACATTGCATAAACAAACAAAAGAGCAGATAGGCCGTTATTAAGAAAAGCATCACACACACTTAATACAGAAGGTAGAAACCGAGAGACCAAGAGACAGACCGACAGACAGACAAGCAGGCAGGTAAACAGACAGGCGCGCAGACAGACAAACAGACAAGCAGGCAGGCAGACAGACAAGACAGACAGGCAGACAGACAGACAGGCACGCAGGCAGGAAGACAGACAGGAGCGCAGGCAGACAGACAGACAAGCAGGCAGGCAGACAGACAGACAGACAGGCAGGTAGACTTACCGACCGACCGGCAGACAGACAGACAGACAGACAGAAAGGCCGTCAGAGATAGAAAAAAGATAATGGCAGGGAAGATGACTAGGTGTCACCCGTGGTGTTCCTATGCTGGAGATTTTGCATGCAGTGTTCATGTGTGACTGAAACCAAGAAGATCAGCTCGCATCGACGCTTATACCAGCCGGCTCACACAAACGATAAACACTAACAAACGTTTGGGTGTCAAAGTGCATTTGTATGGCTTTGTTTTAAGTGCCGCTAACTTACCATGGACAAAAATGTTGCTTCAAATGAAAGAGTTGCTTGTAATTCTTTGTGTTTTCGCTCTAGTGTCCTGTACAAAATTGAAATAAGTAATGCCGTGACTTTTCCTCATCGTTCTTACAGGTCTAATTATTGCTCTTCACTATATGCAAATCCTGTATTTAACCTGTACTTGTTTTCTACTCGGTTTCTCTGATCAAGCTCAAGATAATTTTAAGCCGTAGAGTTTTAACTATTTTACACTTTTAGCTCGGCAATACTGTCACGTGCGGTCAAGGAAGCCACAGATGACCTAGTTGTAAAGGGAAAAGAAGGCATTTCTGGGCAATAACTGATAATCTACCATTAACCGAAGACGGTTTACCTTATAATAGCCGTTGCAAATTTCTGCTCTAGATTCGTTGATCCATCATTGCTTAGAATGTGATTCATTGATGAGATTAGCTGATCTTTCAAAGCTGGATCAGCTTCAAAATCCTACAGACGAACACAGGTTCAAAGAACAGTTACGTCAAGCAAAGAAACAGGAATATAAAAATCCAAAAGAAAAGAGTTTCACGGCACGAGCAACACTTACTTCAGGATGTTTTGTAACCCAGTGACGTAGCACAGTCAGCACTCTCATGGTTGCCAAGTGAGTGTTCGAGGAAAGCAATTCGCGGATTGTGTGACCTGGACAGACAGAGACATAAACAAACAAGCAGGTGTTTATGGAAGACAGTTCAATTTTTTTTAAAATTCAAGAGACTACAGTTTATTGTCTACTCACCAAAACGGAATTTAGTTGCAGTAGGTGAGGTGGCTGCATATGACGGAGACGCGCCCGCGGTGGCAGCGGCGAAGGCTGAGGCCGCAGATGATATACTTGACCTGCGCCGGGATGGCCTTGATGATGTCACAACAACTCCAGCACTAACGCTGCTTGCTGAAGGTGAAAGAGGAGAACGTGGAGAGCTTATGGGAGAAACGGGCGACTTAGGCGGCGGGTGAGAGGAAAGCTTTGGCGAGCTGGGACGACGCTGTGTTTTTAAATTCAACACCCTTTCCTCCGCTTCCTTGACGATCTTGTAAAGACGACACGGTGAGCTTGGCCTTCGTGTAGACAGTTTATTTTGCGTCAATTCAGGGCTCTGGTCACCGGTAATTCCCAGACAGCCAACAGTAGGATCCGTGTTGCGTTCGCGTTGCGCACTGGGAGATGACCGTCGCCGACAATCCGTGGCTTTGGGTGTTTGAAATAAGTCGTCACCATGCCTAGCTACATCACCGTTTTCAACCGCATTGGGAATTCTTCTCCTTGTTTTCTCCACACTGATGTGATCTGAATGAGTTATAGATTGGCTTTGTGATGAAGATGAGTTAAAGACAGGATCTCTTGTCAGAACAGCTGCACCAGACGAACAAGCACGAGATCTCCTACCGCGAGCCTTGGGCGGCGCCTGCAGTTCAAATTTCAACTCGCTAAAAATGTCGTCTTCATGGCACGACGATAGCAATGAGCTGCTTTTACCAATCTCTCCCGACATGAAATCAGACGAGCTGCTCTGGGCCCGAGTGCGAATATTCCCTCGTGATAAGAATGGAGAGCTGTAGTTCCTAGCCCCTCCATGTCGGATTGGCGTCGGTGAATCTTCTTCTGGTGAGTGAGGAGGATCACAAGAGGACTCTGGAAACTCGAAGGCAGCGGACTCGCCTAAGGCAGAAGGTGAGGAGTGACGCCTGTAGGAATGGTAGTTGGTGGGACACAGTCGGTCAGGTGTCCGAGTGGCTGCAGTAGATTTAGACATGTTCTCTGCCTGCTCGTTATCGGACGGCATTTTTACGTCAGACACAGTGATGGAGATAGACTGCGAAGGAGAGGGTTGATTCTTTTCACCAAAGAACTTGCTGCGACCTTCAAAAGGAAAGAAAAATAAACTTCAGATTTCAAATCACCAGTGACATGTGCTGGAACCTAATATATAACGCATATTCTACCGCTTCCAATGCTGATATCGGCTTTTTTTTTTAGCGAGATAGCTGTTATCTAGCAGCGGAATCTAGCACACAACAATGAGAGGCTTAATCCACAACCGATTTGGGCGCAAAACAGAACTTCACAGATCGCAGCATAGCATTACCTTTCTTCTTGTCTTGTCGAGGACTGAGCGCCTCACTCGGCAGCGATACAGAGCGGACCTTACGGCTGACTGGAGAGAACACGTCTGTTGCTAAATACAGCGGGTAGTCCTTAGCATTATGCGAGTAGTAAAACTGCAGCAGTGTATCTAGAAGCGCTGACGCTGATGTGTACACGCGATAAGTAATGAGAAACGTGTTTAAGAAGTCAGCACTTAGGAAACGAATGTCTAGAAGACGCTCCAACAGACGCTCCAAGCTGGCGTGACGTATCTGCAAGAATAATTATACGAGGGGGAAATATTAATAGAATTGCGTATCGCGCGCGAATGGTGACCATAAAGTCCTTTGATGACAATGGTGACAATGGTGACAATAAAGTCCTAAGTCCTAAGTTCATAACCACCGACCGGTTAGCTCAGTGGTAGAGCACCGGACTAGCGTGCGGGAGGTCGCAGGTTCAAACCCCGGCCGGACCAACACTCAGGGTCTTTAAATAATTGAGGAGAAAGTGCTGCCTTTGTAATGACATCTGCAAATGGTTAGACTCTCTAGTCTTCTCGGATAAGGACGATAAACCGTAGGCCCCGTCTCACAACTCTTCAAAATTAATTCTGTGGGACGTAAAAAAACCCACACACTAATCGAAAAGAGTAGGGGACGTAGTTCCCGGTGTGGTGGTCTATCTCTCATCTGATGGTTAAATGCTCGGAGATATTAGCTGCATAAGCTACTCTGAAATCCGAGGGTAAATAAAGTGATGTATGTATGTATGTAGTTGAAAATACGACGCGCAGCGGAGTAGTTTTGACGAAATTCAAGGAGTTTGGATAGCCGATGAAACACTGTCTCGGGTGTTTGACATATCTTCTCAATCGAAACAAAAACTAAGTAAACGGAGATGCACAATCGTCAAAATCTATGCTAATTAAGACCGGGTATCCAAACCTCCCTCACAGTTGTGATTTTCATTTTTAACTTGATGAATTATTAATGAGTTTGAGAAGGTCTGAGCAAGGCCAGCGGTTAACTCTGTAGCATGAGTTATCAGCTATTCTCCTAGGTGAAACAACTCCCCCTGGATGACATGCTAGTCCATCGCAGGTCAACTCGGTGTAGTCTGTCACCTTACCCTTACAATTTGCAGGTACCAAGTTCTACTCTTAGGTGAAGAGAGCCAATGTGAGATAAAGTACCTTGCCTAAGAACGGCCAAGGTTGAACCGTGCCCGTTCGAAATCGGGACTTTAATGCACTAAACATATCGCCATAGCGCTTCCCAACAGAAAACAGACTTTCGCCATTTCTCGCCGTATGAGTAGTTTTACGCATGCAAGTATACAAGCCCAAAGCATCAACGCACTATCACAACAACCTTTTTGTTTTTCCTTAGTGAAGGAACATGACCGAAAACTCCCTGTATATCTCATTCACAAACCCTGTTTCGCTGGCTGGCTCCGCTTTCCACAGACTAGTGGTGTTGATGTAATTATTTTTGCAGATTAGGTTAGCTACCTACCAAAGTGCGGTTACATTGCCTTTACGTTACCTAAGTGTTGATATAACGAAACTCCTCCACATAAGATTAGCGAAAGTCTTATCACGTTATATACATTACAATATTTTGCAGCAATTAAGTGTATAATGAAGGCGTGTAATAAATTTTCACTAATTTACCATCATTTTTATTTACCAAACGTGAAAAAACGACAATCGGCAGTCGCAATGAAACACGTACATTCCGAACATCTAGGATGTTCTTTCATTTCCAGAATTCGTTGGCGAAGCTTGTTTATTTCTAAAAAATTGTTTGCTCAGTTTAATCTTATTGGATTTTTTAACTGAACAGTGATGCAGCAGGATTGCATTTTAAGGAGCTGGCAAAGATTAAATTTTGGTCCTTGAGAAAAACAGTCAATCTCTTTCGCCAGTGGACGTAGAAAACCTCTGAAAACAAATACGAGTGGTCCTCCACACGAATTTGAGGCGAATCTTGAATTGTCCACGGGTCAGATATTTCAATCGTGTATCAAAAACGCGATCAACAAGCTAATTTGTTGCGTGGATGGTACAAAATTAATTTTAGTACTTACCTTCGGTAGCTTGCAGCAATTAAGTGCTTTGCAGTATTTTATATCAGTATCATCAGTAAACAGCTTCGGGTCCGATCTGAAAACAAAGCAGAAATCACCTTCAACACCTTTAAACGTCGACACGAACGCTAAATACACAAGGAAAAGTCTCTTCTTTAAATAACAAACACATGGATGTGTCCAATGGCAAGAAAACACAAACAATTTACCCAAACGATGATGATTTTCTTGCAAAGCAAAGAGAACAGTACGTGATGCTTGATGAATTGACTTTGATCTTACCGCCAAGTCCCATCAAGCATCAGGGGCAGACTTTTGATTAGCGAGTTATTTTTGAAGGTAAGATGCAAACGTCAGTGTTACTTAGTGCTATCACACTCAATGGACGGGTTGCTATAGTCCTTTGCAGATCACGCCTTGGCATGACGTTAACCACGATCGCGTCTACAAAATATTGAACAACAACACATCCGCTATTGTGTTTGCGAGAGAACAACGAAGCAGCTGGGAGCAATGAGACCGGCTATATTCGCAAGATACATCTAACAATTATTCGCGTGTTGGATATGAGTTGGCTATAATCATCAACAAGCACGAGTGGAATAATAATAATAATTTTTTTTTTAACGCCCCCCCCCCCTCCCCCAAAGATCGACAACTAAACTAAACTAAAATAAAATAACAACGCCCAAAAAAATTACGCGTACGCTTACAATATTTGTAGAGCATGGTATACCAGGGGTATAATGGCTCACATATCTTGTATTCCATTATCCACTGATCCAGTTTTAATAACACTTGTTAGCTATGCCTATAATTAGTAAGCGAAGAGCTGGGATAAATTTGGTGGACTTTCAAAGTATAAACAACAGTACCTTAAAACCATTTTGTTTACTTTCAAGATGAAGCAGAAATAACTACGTGGTTTGAATACTGAGCGGATCAAAATTGTGAATAACCTCTGATAACAACCGACAGTAATATTTCAGTTTGACATCCATGCATGCAACAAATAAGTAGGTTATTGACCGTGACGTGCGTGATATTTCCCCCTCTTGTTTCCAATTATGCGAAATATATCGAGCAGCGTCGTTCCAGGGCAACAACCCTTACATATTTTTACGGCTTTTGCGCAATTTCACGAGTGCGCAAGGTGAATAACACGCCAACATTGAATATAAACAGAAACCCATGGCAAAGATTATTATTGACGAACAGAAAATGTGGCTGGATGCACCTGCGTGGGAGTTTGTTGGCATCACATCGTATTTATTGTCCTGGAATGAATTAAGCCAACAAATGACTGAACATAAGTGACTAATGACCATAAATATCCTGCATGTTTCTTAATATTTTTAAAGTGCTATCTGTTTCAGTGAGAAGAGGTGAAGTGACAAGAATAGTTCTTTCATAAAGTTTCCGGTTGGAGAGGACAGAGTGAAAAATCAAATCCACAGGGGACGCAGGGATTATCCATGCTCCACAATAACAAGCCACTCCAAATTGTCGTTTATTTAAAATATAAACATCGGCTGTCTATCCTATCTTTACGCCTTTGGAATCAAAATAACACTAAATTACTGCTGATAACTTATCGGTAAAAAACTGGCTGGCACGCGCTTGGAGTTTTAAGAATAACAAAAAGAATAACGACTCACGCATTGTTAACGTGTTTTGACTTCCGCCAAAGTTAGAGCACCCTTAACCTTATAAAGTTGTATGCAATTTACCTGACACTACATAAACTTTGTCTGGAGGCAACAGAGATATTGTCTTCTTCTGCCATCACTGCAAGATTCTCAATACACTGAAACAAAAACATCACAAATGCAAATGAAACAAATGCTAGCGAAGTTTAAACACACGCGTGTGCTTGCAGTTATGCAATTCCTTAAAAGCGGTTTTTCACAATGTCCAGCATTATGAGGGTTCTACCTGGTGACAGATGACTTCCCTTATTTCTACCTCAGGGTCGAATTTATGATTTATCAAAGGGACCCTGCCATTAAGTTATACTACATCAACATTACCTCCCTGAAATCGAAAACGTCAGAAAGAAAAACAAAATTATTATATACACATAATATATAAACAACAGCAAAAGTGAAAGTTAAGTTCTCACAGTTTTTCCCTACCTCCATAGTTTTAGCGCGAAACGGGAGAAACCTACTACAAAAAGAGATTTGACTGAACAGAGCAGTAAAGTGACATACCCGTCAACTTCCTGTTGAAACAACGCTTAGCCAATGATAGTTCAGAAAATAAAATTTATTCACGGAAGCTGGTACACGTTTAAAATCTGTTGACATATTAAAATCCAGCTGCCTTCACCTGTTACACCGGAAGATGTTCTTGGTAACGCAACCTTTTATTCGAGCTCTTAGTAACAAAGAGGAAATAATCACCGTTCGCTGCTTATTGTGCCGTTCAACCAACCACCAAATCACTTTAGATTGCCTAAGCCACTCCAAACAAGTTGGACACGACGAAAAAAATTTGAACTTTGTTAATTTGCAAAAAAAAAGAGAAACCAAAAAAATAGTCACAGAGCGGTGCGTGAATGTAAATTCCCTAACAACAACCGCTTCGCTAAACATCGAAAGAAAGGCGAATCATTTTATTCGTCAAATAGATCACAAAACAAAATACTAAAAATAGGAAAAATGTTAGTAACTTGTGTTGGTTTCTGACCGAGTTTTTCTATGTTATACATCCCACATCCTAACAGAGACAACAGAGGAAGTGATGGCCACGTTTTAGTGAGTGGGCGGTCTTGAAAATTGGCCGACTTTCTCCGACCGGGTTGAATAAATAACTGCACCATGTGAAAGAAATTTCTTGTTCTCAGTTTATCTGATTGTTTCAGGTAAGCGAACAGAACGCTGCAATCAAGTATTCCTCGTTTTACATGTTCATCCCGCAAATCGAATTGTCGCTATGCAAATTTCAAGTCTTTCAAAGAAATGAATAGATTAAAAAGGTTAAAATCCGCAAATACAAGCTTAAATATTCAACTCTATACGCTAGATTATTACACATGGTTCCGAATCGTCTTCTAAATGACTCATTAAATCCTGGATTAAAATAACGTCGACCACACAGATGTCTAGTCAGAGATATAAATACAAACTATGATAAAAAAGAAAAATGACATTTAACATATTCTAATGTAAATTTCACTAGCTTCGCTAATATCACTCGAAATACCTGTGTTTTCACGGACTTGAGCTGCGATATTTTCTGCTAACAAGTAGACACCATCTTCTGGCTGTCTGCCCACAGATCGTGCACAGTGCGAATATCATGTGAAACATTAGTGAACCCACTAACAGATGATCTCATGAGCCACTTTTCTTGTTTCTTGCTTACGATTTGACATCACCCCGGCGACTAACTCTTAAGTGGCGATCGTCCCGGCAAAATGAGATCTATTTGTTAAAGGTTTTTCTAAATACAGTCTTACCTTCAATAGCGATAGAATAAAATCTGAGACAAAAAAATCTATCACCTCGTTTAAATTTGTCTTCACTGACTATCCCCATCCCCTGTCAAACGATCTGACGCGCGGAGTCAGAGAGATGGCTTAGCAAACATTTCGCAAGTTTTTCCTAAATATGCAAACTTCAACCGACGCACTGTCAAATCTAACATCTTCCCCTTCATGGTATGAGAGCGAAATTTGTATTTTAAATGAAAAATAATTACCCCAGTACTTAATAGAAAATATTGGCCAATTACAAGAAAATAAGAAAAATTCTGTAAATTATTAACAGCTAACACGATTGCATTACGGTCTCCCTAAATACATTACGGTCTCTCTAAACGTACTACGGTCTCCCTAAATGTTATGGTGTTTAAACAGCACACAAATCTAAAATGATGGTTTTTTCAGGGATTCACTAGATTTAACTTCGTCAACAAACCATTAACTTTGCTTAAAGCTAGGACAGCTTCCGAAGGCCATAAAGCTGATTGCGCTCACTTTTTCTTAAAAATGTTGTCATCAATGATCAATGATTGCGCTTTTTATTAAAAATGTTGTCATCAATGAACATTTAATTAAGATCATCATGTATAAACTCATCCGAGACAGGTTGAAGAAAGGTTAGAATGTTACAGAACTTTGTTTTAGATCATCCCTAACGAGTTCTTTTAATTTCGTTCACTGAGATTCCGTTAATCGATTGATTAAAGGACCCCAGACGCGCCTGCCATTGCCAGTTAAGCCACTGGTATATGTTATGGATCACGAGACGGTTCGTTGCTGTTGTTGTTACATGTCGTCTCTATTAACAGTCAGGTCTCTTCGTCCAGCTTGCTAAAGCATAACTTTTGTCTTATGGAAACATCTACACAACAGCCATTCTTGACAACGGGAACGAAAGGTAAAACGAGCTGGGTGAATAGGTTTTCGGATTGACGGATTTGGCTTTAAAAAGCGCTCGGATTGTGGATTTTTGCGATAAATCGAGTGAATTCGCGGATTTTGAAAACACAGTGGATCGTGGATGCGCTGTGAATTTTGGCGCGGATTCCGGATTGTGCGAAATTTGGATCATAGATCTTTCTTCAGCCTTGGTCGGTATGTTGATGAGTTCATCCAAATTATTTCTTTTTTCGAACGAAGCTCATTTAAACTCAGGTGTGAGACTGTTATTGGAATTGTACTGTGTTATAGTCATCAAGCATGTTGCCTTCCTTGCTATTTGTGCGAAATTAACAATGGCATTCACATTTACCAGTTTATCTTTGAGCTTTTGCACTTCTGTTTTCGGATGTGGTTGTGGTTTTGGATTTGAACAAAAATATTGGCGGATCGACGGGTTCGGCGAAAAAAGAGCACGGATCGGCGGATTTGTATACCCCTATTCACCCCCCTCTAAAACAGAACCCAACTCCCACCCCTTGCCCCCTCGCCCCCGCGCCAAGTAATCTCTACCACGACGGCCTTTACCTCCCAATACGTGTAGCAACTATAACACTATGTGCGTCTACAATCTTGGACAGAATAAAATGGAACAATTATCCCCCATCCCCCCCAAAGCAATGATGAAGGCGCGAAGGAGCAAAAGCGCGCCATTTTGGCATCGTTGAAATGGGGGGAGGGGTGGTCCAGATGTTCCATTTATTTTGTCCAAGATTGTAGGTAAATACGAGACGGACAAAAATCGCACAAAAGCAGTTTTTTCACCGAAAACACCAGCTATTCGGCCATCGTCGCCACAGAGTCACCTCCTTAGCCAGCGGGGTCTTTGCACAAGGAAAAGTTACCTCTGATCTGGATACACATGATTTAACTGGCTTAATTCTTGGACAATTGAAGATTTTCACTACTCCTCTGGTTTCATTTCCGTGAATATTCACGAATTGATTTCTAACTAAATTCGATTTCCATCACAGCAACTACATACGATCAGAAAGTTTATAACTGGTTTGACCTGGAGCCGGGAGATTTACTGAAAAACTGGTTTACGTGAGAATTTACATTGAGAGAAGTCCTCCATAACAAAACATGTAAAAGCCACTTCTGGCCAGACTTTTTACTTCCGTTTGAATTCGCTTCGTTAAGATCCGTTAAGATTAGGAGGTACTACAACTGCCAGGTTTTAGGCGGAGATCACCCTACTCTGTTTTCGGGAACGAACGCGGCGTCGAGCGAGTGAAAAACTAAGAATGGAACCAATCAAGTCATGTGTATCCAGAGCTATCTTTTCCTCACGTCAAGATCTCGCCGGCTAAGAGGAACAAGAGGCTCTAGGGACGAGGACGCAGCTCACTTTGATAGCTGGTAAATAACTGACAAAGGCAACTTACCTGGCTTATGTCTGAAGTCCAGGCGGCTTTCTCCTGTGCTGACGGCGCCATTAAAGTCACAGTGTAAGGAGGTCCTGGGTCAGGCTTATCACGTGATCGCACGACCAGCTTGAAGGTCAACTCGTCTAAGTCGATCTCCTGGTTTCCTCGGACGCCATATAAAACACTTTCAGCATCCACTACGACACAAATACAGTACACAGGCACTCAGTTCATTGCATCAAGGGAAGTTATAAGGTGAAGCAATATTGTATAATCTTTAACTTGAAAGCTGGGTTAATTTATCAAAGAAACATCAAACACTTTCCGTGCTTATAAAGAGTTTTAGAATAAGCCTATTTGATTCTAGCTGAGTTTCTATTGAAGCACAGAACCAGCACGAGTTGTCGATGAAGTGATCGCTAAAGAGGATCTTCATTTGATGATCACAGCAAGCGTCGATTTTCTCACTGTTATGGCTCGGCACTAGCTAGATGGACGGCTAGTTAGCTTAAGGCTTCAAATTCATGCTGCGTGCTATATTGCTGACTCTGCAAACTTACCGTCTTGAAAGCAATCCTCTACTAACGTTGCATCGGCTAGAGATATGTTGGAACCATTCTAGGATAAGTCAAGAAATACAGACTGAAACACAACATAAGTTAAAGATCCAACCGAAAACAAACGTAAAATGTCCGTGACTCGGTAGAAGACCATGAGACTACAAACTACATACTTAGACAAACGGCAAGTTCACGCTCCGAAGGTAACGAAGGAGTTGATTCAGTACGGTCACTGTCACCTTTTGGATTCCATATCTGCAAAAATGCTATCATCCACACTGGCTATGTTTAGCCTTAGAAATTGCGGTAGCAAGTTGTGTTCGAACAATTTCGCGATGGTTTCCTTAAGGAAATTGCTCATTACGATTACCACAACAATTGCCACCAAATTAATTTTCAAATTTTCGCCGCGATTGCAGTAACGCCAAAACATTTGTTAAGGTGTTATCGGGTAGTGTTACATTAAGTAACGTTTCTTGGAACTTTTCTCGTAACAGCCAGCGTGCGTAGCTGGCGACATTTCGAGCGTAAGGGCTTTGTTTCAGCGGGGCCGACGTTTTTTCCGCCCTGGTTTTCACCAACAGAGAAAATGACGAGAGCGGTACAGACGCGAGGGGAATGGGGAGTAGTGGAATCTCGCCAGCTACGCAGGCTATATAACTATGTAGTGGTCTGCTCATGCGCATTTCCATTTGACTCAGTCATCGACTCGTAAAACAATCTTTGAACTCGGTTGCCGCAAGTTATCGTGATTTGGTCATGTCTCGCAGATTAATATGTGCCTCAGCCTTCTACTTCAGCAAATCATTGTTCCGCTCGCCACTTATAAACCACGATATTTTGCTCATCCTCGTCCAATACTAATTAACTATTTGTTTGTGGAGTCCAGCCGTACCTTGGTAAGGTGAAGGCGGCCACTGGATGATCTTGTGGTAAGAAGAAGGAAGCCGGAGAACAGGAAGCATTGACGAACAGATTCTTTCCTTACTTCACATGACTTCAGAGACAAACCACCAAACGTTTTACCTTTACGACTCTCTGTGATCTGAATTAAATTCCCTGAAATAATACAAACGAACACAATTATATTCTTCTCATGTTAATCCCAGATTGCACCAAAAAAGAAAGCTTGGAAGAAACATCACCAAAACAAACATAACTGACTGATCAAAGTGTTTCAAAGTCTCGCGCTAGGTTTACTTGATTCCACATCACAACTGATAAATATCAAACAAACAAACGAATCAATACTGAATAAATAGAAAGTTAGTTACCTTGTCTTATAAAGATCTGATTGACATCCAACAGCATCTCGCAGCCCTCCACTATCTGACGCTCAATAGACAGGTTTTTACGAATGTTCTCTGTCTCACTGACTTCGTCATGCATTACCTAAACTCAGCAAACAAACGAGATTATATTTGCAGCCTAACCCCAGATATAAATCGTATAATGGCTAAGTAACAGCTACACAGCGAGGTCCAGATTTTTGTCCGATGAGTTGGTGAGGGGTGAAAAAGTCGATAGAAACCGAGAACGTTTAATTCAGTGTGTTAGCTTACCTACTGAAAGATATTTAAAAACAACTATTTCAGGAAGGCACGAAAACGCGAACTTGAAACCATTCACAAAGACTGACATATAACGATGGTTAGACGGCTCCTGTGCAGCCAGTCAGATTGCTCGGCGTTCACCCGATAGTCGGTCGGTGGGTTATGCTAAAGATTTTATCTCACGACACTGGGACGTGAAAGTACTGCTCGGTAACTTTCTCTTGAACGGTCACACACCAAGGGACGTTACATGACAAGAGTTATCAGCAGACGGTGACCTATGCGGAGGGAATCTCGTCACAATCCCCCTGATATTCTACTGACCGAGAAAGAAGCAACGGAAAAATACTTAAAGACTTCCTAGTTCTAGTACTTTTCTGTTTGTCACGTCGCGTTGTATGCGCACGTTGATTGTTTTTGACGGTTATACTCTGTGGGAAAGCTGTCCTCTAAAGAACAATTGTTTACTTTCCGTGTGGAGAGTTTGCTTCCAGGCTAAATGACAGGTTACAAAAAGCTGCGAGAATTACTGATCTATTCGTCTTCACCTCAGGGGATGTATTTCTTGTTAAACAAGCAGCTGGACGAAACTCTGTGGAACTCTGTGATCACAAACAGGTCATTTATCAGTCGATCCCAACACAACCACGAAAAGGTATTGTTACGTAAAATTCAGTTAAAATAACGGGACTTTGCTTTGGCAGCCTACATGCAAACAATAACAGTCTCAAGGCAGGTGACATCCCGGGGTGAAACGTGCTTAGCTCACAGAAAAAATATTCACCATTTGCAGGAGTTTGTAAGTCCCTGTCAAAGCTAGACGCTCTAAGAGCGTTTACTCGGGCTTCGTACCGCAAGTAAGCTTATTGAACACAACAAAAACTTTACATTGTGTCTAGATACCCAGCAGCCGGGAATTGTTTTCAGAAAACTACATACCCGGCATGTCTGAAATTATTATAGAATTTCCACGAAATTACTCTTTACTTAGAATAGTAGATCTTTGTTTAGCAATGCCAAGCGATTTCAAGTATTATTTTGCCCTTGTAGTTGCGAAAAATTTTCGAGCTTGGACATACTATAAAATCTCGATGTTTTCACATTTAGTCCACAAAATATAATTTGTTCAGAAATGCCAAGCGACTCTAAATAATGTTTTGGTTTTGTAATGGACGAATTCTCCCAGCCATAATACAAAAATCTTGACTCACGGGCTAGGTTGTTCAAAAAAAAACTGGCGACCCGGCGGTGAAAAATTCAAAGATAATCTGATAATCAATTTCCACAAACATTATTGATATTATTTGAAACCCCCTGAGAGTATTTGAGTATTTCGATCTTTGGCTATAAACACCAAGCGATTTTATTCAATGATTTGAGTTTGCAAGTTGTCCGACGAACTTTGTGTGACTCAGGCCTCATTTAAGTGGTGTCGGGTACCCGAGACAACCCTCCCCCGAGTTTCGACCGAGCTGCCTGGCCGAGGTAACTTTTAGCTTATTTCTTTGCAAAATTCAACCAACCGTTTACATTAGGATCGCGAACCCGTCTCGGAGGGCGAGACAACTCAGGTGGGCGAGTCGTCTCGCCTCGGCTGGTAGGGTAACCCTGGCAAGCGGGACAACATTTCTTCATATAAACGCTTTGCCTCGCCCAACCGGGACACCTCTCGGCCTGGCGAGTGTCACGTAATGCCTAGATTTAGGATTTAAAGCAGAGATTCGTATCAAAGAAGTGAAAATTAACTCAGCAAAACTCACTGTGATCGAATGACCGAGGGAAACTCAAAGAAAGAGGGATATTTGCACATTTGATTATTCAATAACGGTTATGAATAATCATGCAGGGTCAACTTTGACTCGGCGTACAGGGACTACGTTTCACTTATAAACGCTCGCTAAAGTTGCCTCGGGGGTAGAGTTGCCTCGGGTACCCGAGACCATATAAATGGGGCCTCAGGGGCACGGTTTTTCAAAAAAACACTATATATACCCAGCAGTCAGAAATCAGTCTTTCCGTTTTTCCACCGAAATGTCCATTCGAACCTGCTGAGCATGTTCGATCTCTGTGTAGAAATACCAATGAATCTCCGAACTGCACTGAATTCACATTGCCTCGGCATGAAAGCACATAACAGACCATAACATGACGAAAATCCGCTACAGTTTGCATGACATTGTTAATACCAAGACCTACTGAGTGATGGCGGATATACTATTCGAAGAATTCGGAATGAATTATTCCGTGGAAATTCTATGATAATTTCAGATTGCCAGGTATCTAGCTTTTTGAAAACACTTCCCGGATGCCGGATAAAACCAACTAAACGAATCAGGATACTTTTTAAGACAAAGAGTTACGCTTAGATAATTACTATTCAAGTTGCTTCGCTGAGTATCCCCTTTATCCAATTGCATGTTGTTTGCCTCATCTACCAAGTTCTGCTTACGATGATTCTTTGATTTCTCAACATCCGTGTTGTTCGTCTCAGCATCATAATTTGTTTTTTGTCCGTGTTTTCGTAGTTTGAACTATGGTAGATGTTTGCCTCATCTACCAAGTTCTGCTTACGATGATTCTTTGATTTCTCAACATCCGTGTTGTTCGTCTCAGCATCATAATTTGTTTTTTGTCCGTGTTTTCGTAGTTTGAACTCGTAAATGGCTCATTTGTGATCTCGTGAGAACGAACATGAAATTTGCTTATCCGGCAGGTTTTCAATTAATATAATTCGTGGGCCATCCCGTTCCGAAAACGATCGACATCTTCTTCGAGTATTTCCCAAACTTTCTTCACAAAACACAGCATTTTGTATATCACATTGCTGTTCATGAAGAGCGAGAGCTGTCGCCTCCGCATTCTTATCCCCAGTTTCCACGCACCACGCTAGGAACGCCTGGGACCATGACCCCCCATTTGGTGACCAAATACGACGACGACGACGAACGGCTTGCATTTTATGACTCGGGCTTTCCAGCTGAAGCCCGAGTAGAAAATAGAATGCTATTTTTTCTGAAATGTGTGATGTGGAAACGATGATACTGTCTTTGAATAGTATATCCTGGAAAGACTGTACACCAATGGTGATGAGCTGCAACGGGCTTCAGCATAAGACATATTACGTACAAGAAACTGTCACTTGGTCAAATCCCTAAAAGAACAGCCACCATAGCTATTTCCTCTCCTCCGAAACTTCCACTCGCGTTTCTTAATAAACAAAAGGGCGTTTCTGTCGTGGGTCTTTTGGCTGATATCTGCCCTCGGAAACTTTATGTTCTAAACAATTCTTCTGAATGCCGATAAATTTGGCATCCAGAAGCAAAAACAAATACTAGCCTGAAAACGAAGATCGACAGTTCTAAATAAGTCAAACGGGCGAAAGTGGTGCAAGGAAGAGTTTACAAGACGTTAGAATCGATTTTGTTCACTGGACTTATTTATTTACAACAACTTTATTTGCATCAAAAATATATAAATATCTACATGCAAGTAGGGTGCCAAGAGGGAAGAACGCAATCCTCATACAAAGCTGCCCCCTTAATTAAAATATATAAACTACATTTACAACTCTAAAGAATTCTTTTACAAACTTCTGACCCTCCTGAACCGACCTGAACCTGCCCCTGGGTCAAAGCGTTCGGCGTTAACTCAGTAAGTGTTAACCAATCAAGCTTACCGTGGAAAGATCTTCCAGAACGCTCTGCGCATACTCCAACGTATTTCTCTCCACGTGATCATGAGGAGTGAGAGCCAGAAGGTCATGCAAGGTTATAATGTAGGCTGGGACCTGGAACCAAATACAACAATGTTAAACACCGCAAATTCAGTTAGAGGATGGGCCAATATAACTAGGTACTGAACAAATCCAATTAATTGAAAGCATGCCAAAAAAACATGCGAGAGTATCAAAGGGGTCTAAAGACTGGGTGCTGTGACTCACACCTATCATGTTCACGCAGTACGTACTAGTTTTTCTTCGACTGACGATTGAAATGAGAGCGGGGTCGTTTGACAATTGGTGAAGTTGGCGCCAGTAATTTCCATGAGCATTAGACATGACGATATAACCCTACAGATTTAATGATATGAAAACCATCCGGTCAACGCGTGTGTGGGTGTCGACCCTTCCAGCCTCTTGCATTCTCATTATACTGTTTGCATGTAATTTGTGCCGGTTACCCCACAAAGAGCCTGAAATAATTTACCTGCAATTCTGACGAATCCAAACATAGAAGACAATGGTATGGCCGAGGCAATATTTCTCTACTCCATGTACTTAAAATAAACAACTGGTTGTCTTCTTACCAGCAGCGATTCTTAGCTCTGCCGTGTTCTTTAGAATCAGAGGTTGTCCCACTTTGACGGCGAAACACAGATGTTTATATTTGGTTTTGTTCAATTTAAAATAACTTGGGTATCTAGTTTGAACGCTCTCAAACGCATGTTAGGAAATATTTCACGTGAGTAGTTACAGTCCATAAAGATCTTTCAATTAGAGTGGTCCGATTCTATAGTTGCAGCGTCTGCATTTTTCGTTTCCTACGTTACGTATCGATGACTATGCTGCGGAATACAACCACTTTATACAACCACTTTATTGTTGCTCTACAAGCTACTATAAAGTGATTGTACAGAATGTAGTAAAGGCAATATCACACCACAAAGATTCTATTTTTGTTTGCAAAATACAACAGTAGATTTACAGGGCTGTTTACTACAATCTCTACTACGCAAACGCTAAAACGACTTAAATGAAGTGTACTTATCCTTACAGAGAAGCATACTTGTACCAAAAGAATTTTAACCTAATAGACTAAGAGCCGATGAAAAATACAAACAATAAATATGTCGTGAAAACTTAATTACATCCTGAAAGATCTTTCCTCTGAAGTACTACTGTGCATTCTAACACCCGAGGCCTTATGCGTGGCAGGGCGCGAAAAAGACAGATGATAATTATGATGATGATCCTAACACTCAGGGGAGCTTTTAAGAGCATCTTCCCGGGGGGAGGGGAGGGGGGTGTAGGTTCAACTCTTGATATAACTTAGTTTTCACAGTCTCATATAAGTAACTTAACCCACCCTCACATGATTTGACACTGATATTTGAAGCAGAACTATAAACTTACTAGCCCGGAACATATAGTAAGGAATAGTTGGAAATTTCGCGGAAATACTCGAGTGAAAGTCGCCATACTGTTAGTTGAATTAGATTACTATACGGACACCACGCAAGCAAAGTTGAGCGGAACACGAACTTTGTTACTGTCCACTACTGATAAGACACAGAACAAGCATTTTAGCCGCAGGCAATGGAGATAGAAAAGTAGAACAGTAACTGCTTCCCGTCCAGTGACCGCCTACACTAACCCACAAACGCTAATAGAGAAACCAAGTCAAATTTTCATAAATATGCAACCTCCCTGTTGGAATATTGATGTTTTAGAGCTGTCGTAACCGAAGTAAATATACGTTTGTATATATTTGACGAAGGAAAAGGTCAAGAGGTAGCTGGCAATGACGATAGGACTATGTTAATATCTACGAAAACAAGATCAAACAATAATATTACAAGTGCCTGAGATGCCAACAGTAACGGTATAAGTTAAGTAAATATCGTGAACTTTTAAAAATTAAAATGAAATTTTGCTATATTTTTAGAATAGAAATGGAAATGTAATGTACAAATGAGGCGTACATGCTATGCTGACTAAGAAACACAGAATCAGTTTGAGTTATAAAATGCTGGTACACCCTTGTACTTACACAGGAGCTAGGCTAGATGAGAAACGCAATAACGCTGCCTGTGGGAGCCAAGATGTCTTGTACATACAAGCCTCATCGGATTATCGTGTGAAGATCGCACGGAAACGCAAAAATAAAAGCTGCCGCTGACACCTCTCAAGCTTCAAATGCTTAATTGTCGCAATTGAACACTTAGGCTTCGCGCCTTGTTTTCAGAAGCCAATTTGAAATGAAATACCCGGCGAAACGCTCCAAATTAACATCGACTAACACAACAACGATCGGCTTCCAAACGAGAGAGAAGACTGAATTTCGTGGCAACCACGCAACATTTTCTTGAAGCGTATAATCTGGCCATTAAAAAAAGATTTCGGTGTGATAATAAATGGTTAAATTAAGATTTCATCGACAAGAATTCAATTTCCGTGCAGGTTTAGCGCCGGTTTGGACATTTGAATATATTTACCCTCGGAGAGCGTGATATTAACAATGCACAAATGAAAAAAAGCGAAAAGGCCAACAAGATCTTCAATATCAACTCTAAATCTGGGAGTAAGTCAATTCGCTCGTTAATCACACCGACGTTATAATAGAATTTATTCCTTTAAAACCATGCTTTTAAAAAGAGAATGGCGAGAAAGCTGAAAACAAGAATTACTAATGGCCGTGCGAAAATGGACTGAGCATAAAAGTGTACTTTGTTTAGATGCTGAATAGTAAGAAGGAATGCTCCAGTGCACGAAAACTACGGGGGCGTATAAACAAGCAGACAAGCTACAAAAACTGCATCAAATAATCCAAATCTGCAACCTGCGGTAAAGTGAAAATTAAATATCCATTTTCATTTGTACGAGTTTTATACGACAGCTAAGCCTGTCCTGGTTATATTTTAAATACAGCAGGGAAATAAAATATTAATGAGTTGCTAACAAAGACAGCATCTGTTGTTTCTAGGGAAATTGAGCAGGCCACGATAGTTACAAGAGCTTTTTCAATAACAGACGAATAGCAAGTGGGAATTAATACCCAGCAGATAACATGCAATATCGTAGAGACGAAATAACCTACCTCAGAATCTCTTGCTCTCACTCAACACTGTTCACACTCGTGCAAACAATCAACGCCGTCGAATAACAAATCAATTTTATGTTTGTAAAGCCTTTGCCAATAGCTTTTTATATTAAAATAGGGCTCCCAGCGGAGTTGTTCCAGACATCCTTAAACACAGCGAGAGAAAAACATTAAAGACCGAACAAAAGCGTAGCAAGGTAAATTTGGAGTACACAAAACTGTTGTTGTTTTATTAAAATTCTTGTTATCACCTGCATTTCATAGCCTGGCGCATCTTGAAACCCAGAGTAAGCAAAGTTTACACTAATAAATTCTAAATGACTTGGAAATTTCCATTGGGCAATTATCACATAAATTCAAAAATTCGAAAAGATTACCGGCAATGTTGACTAAAATCGTGAACTTGGGACACGCCGCGCAATAAAACAGACAGCGCTTGAGTTCAACTTATTATTCAAGTTGTCTTTTCCTATTGACACCACTTGAACACTTGATCAAAAATATTCTTTGCCTGAATTCATAATAAATTGCGCTTCGACAGCAATGTGAAAAACGCAGGCGTGTTGCGAACTTGTTAGCTAGTCATATCAGTACAGGGTGAAGTGTAAAACTGAAATAAATATTCTACTGCTGTATAAATTGTCAACGTTTTCCACAGATCTCGCAAACGTTCAATTTGGTGTTACAATGTTCAGAATGTTTACAATACCAGGACGAGTGAAAAGTTATGTAACAAATGTGAAAGCCGAAACGCAGGTTCTACAACTGTAGCTTACATCTAAAAGAAAGTAAATCTCGTCATCTGTTAGGAAGGCAATGCATTCACATCCTGACGTCTTTTGCAATACTGGGCTAAGACACACTTTGCTTTTATTTAAAAAAATGGATAATATTTCAGAGCTCCCTGAGATGATCAGAGTTAATTATCTAGCGGATTCATTCTGCACTGGACATTTAATTAACATTATCAAAATAAGGTACTGGATCCTTATTGCTAGCCACTACGCTAACTGTAACTAATAAAATATAGTTTAAGAATAAACTAGAAAAAAATCGCACCATAAAGCACGACTATAAAAGAGTCTCTTATCGCTACAGTTAGAGCTGACAAGAAGAGTTGTCTTAGTTATAAATCTTGTATGTATTCCAGTGAGGTAAAAAATTAATTCATCTTCAGATCCGGCGGATTCAGTATTTCTGATAAAACATGGATGTAAATGGATGGTATTAAAACGACTTCTCAGTGACAGTTCATTGATAAGGTGAAACTGTGTCTCTCTTCCTTGTTCCCAGGCTTTGTCTCCTTCCTGCGGAGCGGGAAGAAGGGAGACCTTGGCAAGTGAAGTGGCAGCCGTGACATTCTCAAGGCTAGCATACGATCACGCCCAACTTCACTACACTTCAAAACTGATTCTGATTTTCTAATGTTTTCAAGTAATTGATTCCTGCAGATGTTGATACAACGGCCAATCGGGGAAGGTTGGAGGGAGTCCCATTTTTCTGCCTTGAGAGTGGGGGGGGGGGGGGTGGATAAGAGAAAATGGAACGAAAAAATGTTAGCCTTTATAGAGAGCTCGTCTCAAATGTTCTACTAGTATACTAATGTAAATGCTGCAATCTTACTTGCTGAGCTATCATACACTATCAGCCATTAGCAGAATTCTAGGGGCAAGATGTCCAAAGGAATTACGTGTAGACAACATGATAGATATGTTTTAGGATTGCAGCGCTTCGAATTAAAAATAAAAAGTACAGCCGGTTTAGCAGCAAATTAAACCAAACAGGAAAAGTTCCAAACAGCATACGTCTCCTTGAAGATATCGCATCCAGGATGAATCACGCATGGTGAAAACTTTAAAGAAACGCTCTCTAGCGAACAATGTTTTAAAACACGAGCGTTCGACTGTCCGAAATACAGTCTGCGACAGGTAAACATGAAAATAAAGTCACGATAAAAAACGGCACAATA